ATCTGTTTGCTTGGCATCAAACACTTTCGAAAGTTATGTAGCGCTGCCTGATGTATTCATAAGTTACTTACCAAGCCACCTTTTTTTAATCTTTGTCGGGTATTTTTTCAAACACAAAAACTGTGATAAAATCGCAGCTTTTTGGTTGCGCGCATATCACGCGCGCTACGGTATATTTTGATCGTAGTATTTCGCCGACTTAACTTTAAAAGAACGAGTCGTCAGAGTTAAAAGCTGAAATTGGGAGAGTTTTCGTCTTGTTCATCAGCTACCGCAAATGGACAAATGAAAACACGTGAGCAAACGCTGAAAAAGCTGCTCGAGTGATGCTACCAGCGTTGAGTTTTGAAAGAGAAAAGGATATTTTCTGCTTGTGAAACGCGTTTGTATGTTTTTCTTTTGTTCTGAAGTGTTCGGGCCATAAACTGAACTGCTCAAAAGTAGACGAGAAAGTAAATAGTTGTAACAACCTTAACGTTAAAGTCAGCGTAACCCTTTAACTAGTGGCAATCAGTCACCTCTCCCTTCCCCCCAACCCAATTTTCGTCTTCAAATCTCTTGAGCTACATTGATGCCTCAGGATACCACACTTAGGCAAAAGTTCCTCCACCGAAAAGATTTCGCCTGAACTTGACACTGAGCGTGCGCTATTTAAACCATCTGATGAAAAGATACCGGAGAATAATCAAACCATAACAATAGGCAAAGTTTGCTACGCATTAAGTAGTGAGAAGTTGGACGCCGTATCCTAACCCACTTGTCAAAGTACCTACTGAGAGAATTAATAAGCACACGTAACTTACTTGGATTATAACCAACCAAGGTGTAAGAGTTTTTTCGTATCAGGTTGGCCACTCCAAGACCTTCAAAATCAGCCTTATATGATATAACATCATCTGGCAGTGGATCCAAGAAAAGTATTTCAAGCTCTCTCTTTTCCTAATGGTAAAATGAATTAAAAGGAAAATAGTTGAACATGAATAGACTTAGCTATCGTAGTGACATATTGTATACCTACTTTTGCTTTGATGGACTTTTTATTTTTGTTACATACCTGGAATGTTCTCTCCAATAGCCCACGCTCCCATTGGTTACTTTACTCACCTTGAGACCTGTCCCTTAATCCACTGACATCAATAGATGATTATTTTGTCGCCAATATATACTTCAAAATAATAATCCTAATCGATGATAGGAGTGATAATAATAACACTTTAAGTCTAACATTACCTCTGTGTATGCCCAATCAGGTATCAATCCGGCACAATCACCCGCAGATGATTCTATACATAGCACAAAAAATTACAACGAGATTTAGGTAAAGATTAACATTTATCACAAATATCGACTAGGCTGTAAACAAAATAAGTTCAGATTACGATGCATAGCTGTATGTTTTGGTGAACCACAACAAGGCATACCAAAATACATTAAACTAGACCAACCACCAAACAACGCCAAATACCTGGCACCCGCCGGAGCACCAGCGGGTTATTCTGTTGCGAATCACCGGGTATACTTTCCCCATCCAAACCGAATTTACAGAACAAAAATTAAATAAATAACACAAAAAATAATATTCAATTTAGTACTAAAGCCTTCATCATAATTATTTTTCAAATATTCCGTGCTCTTTAATGGTTATCAAATAACTTTGTGCTGGACCTAAATCATCATCAACTATTTTTAAACAAATAAACCAAAAGCAGTTCTTCTAGAAAACAAACTCCGGCAGAAAGTTTGTATGTCAGCAAGTGGAAGATTTTGAATTTTAGATTAAGAAAATTCATCACTCAATTTTTTTTATTTGACCCATAATCAATGTGTACTACGCCTTATAAACAGGTCTAAGCTTCGTTGCCTTAAAAACGTACGGGCATGTTTTTTCTCAATCGATAAATAATCAAAGATAAAGCTCGATCTAGTTTACCTTGAGCTGAGTTTTTCTCCACATTATCTGTACCATGAGGCGAGGGTTCTATTTCCTCCTCAGAATAATCTCTGTTTGTAAATGAAGACCCAGTCCCCGCTTGTTGATTGTTTCCTATCTGATGTCGTTGCCTTTCAGCTTCGGTCACGATTGAATCAAGAGAATCATTCTTATCTAGTGATATAGAACAACATGGTAAGCTAAAAACGTCAGAAGATATTGCAAGGCTTTTAAAATTGAATTTTAGATGTATAACTATGAAAAGTAAATCAAAATGGACAGCAGCTCTGTTGAAATGATTCTAAAAGCCTGAGTGATAGCACAAAAATAATATGGGAGTAGAATTGGCAGAGCAATTATTTCTGAGAGAAAAAAGTCCACAATTACCTAATGTGATATGCCCTGAATCAGCATGAATGAATGATTCATGCTGTGAATCATCCATTTCGCTACCAATCGCATCAGTGTCTGCGGGTGATGGCAACGGTGATACTTCATCGTCTGCTTCGTAGCCACTCTGGTTCATGTCACCACCTGGAGAATCTACCGATTGGGCATCATCAGTACCTGGTGTGAACAAATAAGACAACAATTATGGTCTGTTTTCACTTACTTCTTGCCACACTTACACCGTGGAACCAGCCAATCAGACAATAAAAGAATTGCAGAAATTCCCTACAGCAAGGTCAAATGTATTTCATGATCTCCTGGTTTGGGACAGGCCAAGATCGAGCCCAGGTTCCCCAAAACCCGTTCTACAAAAGACACTAAAGGAGCTGTTGATTGTCGGTCTAGCGGTACTCGCTGATTGAAATAAACCTCTACCTATTGACATGTGACATGGATCTCCGTGTTCTGAATCACCCGTTTCGCTGATATCTATTTCACTGTAAGATATTGACGAACATGTTGATGCATCATCATCTGCTTTGTAGTCACTCTGGTTCACATTACCATCCGGGGAACTTACCGGTTGGGTATCAACAGTACCTGGTGCGAATAAATTAGCCCCAAACAATAGTTATTGTCTTCTCTAATCTACTCCTGGTTACAATTATACCCATGCAACCAGCCAACCATTAAGAAGATTGCAAACATTCCTGACAATAAGGTTACATGTCTTTCATGATCTCTTAGTTGGGACCCTACTGAAAAGACACTAAAAGGAGCTGTTGATAGCTATTGTAGCAATACTCACTGTTTGCAGTAGACTTTAACTGCAGGCGATATGTAGCCAGGCATGTATTTTGTAATAAAAGTGAACACTTACCAGGTAGACAAACTTCCTTCTCAGCAGCATGCTTCAGTTCCAACCAATTAATGGTTTCACTGCTGTCCTCGTTACCTGCTTCTACTGCTAACCTGCACAAATAGAAAAGTGACTGATGCAAGTTATTGTCATGTTGAAAATTAACACCTTTTCTTACAGCTTCTGTATAAAATTTAGGAAAAGTGCCAGTGTCACCTCGCACAAACTGGGTTGTACATCGTTTGGGTAAAGAAAAGCACAGTGAGAGTAGAAAGTGACTCGGACATGAACACTAGCTAGAACACAAGGACAAGGGACTTAACTTACAACCAAAGATCTGCAGAGATAACAATGTGGTCCAAATTTATCTTACTCCAGCACCGGACTAGGAATAATATTTGCATTACGTTTTAAATGACAAACTTAGCTTTCAATACACGCCAAAGAAACGTAAATATATTACCTTTTATTCACATTCTCCAAGAAATCGCCCAAGATGGCATGCCCATTAGCTCTGGCAACATCCTCAGGCAATGTAGAATTGTTCTTGTAATGTTTAAAAACTACTTTTCCAGCTGAGGTTCTGAAAACCATTTCAAGAAATTCATAGCCATCTAATTCAGCAGCTTTGTACAACAGTAGGGTTAGAACTCTTATGGATAGAGCATCACTTGTCTTATTCAGGTTAGAAGATCCTGTTAAAATAATCCAAACCCAACATATATAGTTATATAACAAAATGTAGTACTTTTAGATTGACAGTCATAAAAACAAAACCAAAGTCATAAGAACAACCAATTAAACAAAAGGAAAGGAACATAGAACAATTTGCGAATAAGAAGAAAAATATCAGAAAAGCGAGGGGAAACTGAGAATGACTGAGTAACGATTGTTTTTAGTTCAAATTTGACTGCAAGAGAGAGGGGCTCGAGAGCAAATAAAGGCAAGAAAAATGCAATCCTCTCCTACAATCAATTCAGACACTACTATTCAGATCATTTCGATGTTGCTTTATAAAACTATTACACTGGAAAACGTAGCTTTCCTATAGCAGTCCACGAATGTTTTACTCCACACCATTTCATTGAGACATCCAATCAAATATAACCCTGAGGATTCTGAGTCCAAGGTAATGCATACACACGAGACTAGATTTAGCGGTTTCTCTAGAATACTCTGATAAATTGAGTATAGCAATTAGCCTACGTTAGCCTCTATACCTTGCTGTAGTACTGTCAATTATTAACATGATACTTGGGTGAGCATTCTATACCTTTTCCTTCTCCGTTATGATTCTAATCTCACCCATGCTACGCTTTGGGTCACCGTAAATAAAGAATTTTGTTTCAATCTCTGCGATTTCAAAAAAAACTGACAAGCCTTTTTGCAGTAAACAATCCTGCACTGTCGCACGGCCAGTATTTACCTGCTCCCATGGCTGCACCACGAGAGGCAGCCTCTTGAGGATCACCACCACTAGTTCCTTCTATTCCGGGAGTTTTTCCTAACGCATCAAAAAGGAATTTCTGGTTACTCTTAACTAGAACAATTTCTCCAAGTATAGCCTGAGCATTCACGGTAAAGGTAAAATCGGTATATCCAATCGATCTTCCGTCTGACCCATCATACTCCACGCTGACTTTCACCTTTCCTGTCTTATTAGATACTGACATTAAAAGTTAAAAAAGAAAAGAAAGAAACCAAACGTCACATCAATTTCGTTCATTTCTATTGAAGATATACCCTATCTATCAGTACTGTACTTGGTAATTCGTTGTATTTCATTTTGTCGCAACACCTGGTTTTCTTAACATCGCGAGTAGATCTAATACAGCTGTAAATTGATTAATCTTCGATTAGAAGGTTTCTTCATCTTAAGTATATTGTGTACAGTTTAGTGAATTGTTGGTGGTGGGAAAAATTCAATAGGGTTTGTTGTCAACACTTAAACAAAGTTTCTTCAAGGATTTTTCTCTGCTACTTCTAACTAATAAATCATGGATTGAATTTCTTGATCCTCAGCAATGTTTATAGCACAGAGACTTGAGAGACCTAAAAAATTAATGAAATATTCTGGAAAAGCTAAGTTATCCTCTTCTACTCAATTATAAGCCTGAGATCTTCATCCTGCGGAACATAATTGAACAGTCAGGTCAACGAATGGCAGGCAACCCCGTACTTAAACTTTGTAGACTTTGAAAAAGCTTTTGACTCTATCCACCGAGAAAGTCTGTGGGTAATAATGGCCAAGTATGGAATCCCGGAGAAGATCGTGAAAATGGTAAGAGTATTTCATGACGACTTCAAGTGTGCTGTAGAAGACCAGGGGGAAACATGTGAGTGGTTTGACATTAAAACTGGTGTAAAATAAGGATGTAATATGTCGGGATTTTTGTTCTTGATTGTTATGGATTGGGTAATGCGAAGAGCAGTTGGCAATGGTGAAAATGGTATTAGATGGAAGTTTACAACAAAACTGGATGACCTGGACTTTGCGGACGATATAGTCCTGCTCTCATCTACCAAGCAGCAGATTCAGGAGGCCAGACGGGTGGTACTCAAAATCAACAAAGAAAAGACAAAAGCGATGAGGATCAATGCAAAGAACCAAGAAAAGATCATAATTAATGGACAGGATATTAAAGATGTCGATGAGTTCGTGTACTTAAGGACCAAAGTTTGTAGAGAGTGGTGGTATGAAGCACTTGAAAAACAGGTTATCAAAAGCCAGAGGTGCCTTTAACAAACTAAAGAAGATCTGGATCTCTAATAACATATTGAGGAAAACAAAACTGAGGCTGTATAAAACTCTAGTAGTGCCAGACTCTATGGATCTGAGACATGGAAGATGAACAAAGGAGATGAGAAAGCAGTGAATGTATTCCATAAGAGGTGCCTACGAAGGATCCTCCGAATCCGATGGCAAGACCATGTCAGCACCAAAGAGCTACTGGAAAGGGCAGGTATGAAGCCACTGAGTGCGGAAGAGATGTCTCGTAGATGGAAAATGATTGGTCATATTCTTAGAAAAGATCGTAATAATGATTGCAATGTTGCTATGAGCTGGGCGCGAGAAGGTAAAAGGAGAAGGGGAAGACCAAAAACTACTTGGAGACGTACAGTAGAGAAAGAAAGGCAAGAGGCAGGTTGGAGGTCGTGGGAGGAGGTGCGGACAGCAGCAACCAATCGAGAGGAGAGGAAAAGCTCTGTGAAGGCCCTATGTGCCACGAGGCATGAAAAAGATTGATGATGATTACTTAATTAAAGCCTGAAATTAATTTGTAGTAGTTGCAACCTATTTGCATGTATACACTGTTACTTAATTATTAAATATCTATTTACCTATGTTTCCAGTTAGTGTTTTACCATTTTCTATTTCCAAAGGTACCGTATCAACACCCTCAAAATTGGCCTTTAGGTTCAACTTTTTGTACTCCTTAGGCAATTCTTCCCTCAAAGTGATGCAGAAGGGTATAATTTCCTATCAAAATTGACAAGGAATAAAATGACCGTTAAGGTAATAAATCACTAGAAATATTTTTGAATAACTTTCTCTCGGGGCACTTTACGGTACTCGAGGCTATGATCCATATCTACTGCCGAAGACTTGATGGGTCTAAAGAAAATTGTTGCGCTATTATTGCACTGGAAACACATAAAGTCCATAAGACAGGATCAGGACCAAAATGATCAGAAAGGAAAAGATCTTGCAACTCCATTAAAAGTAGTCACAGTGAAATAAAACGATCCGCTTAAATGCTAACTGAAATGCCTTATTGACCAAGCGTGAGGTCAGATGGCTTGATATTGGCCAACATCTTTTTTTGTAAGTGTTTCTGTGGACCGAGACGAAGTTGAGGTCTACAAAAAAGTAAAAAAGAGGCTAATATCCACCTTTATTATCCGACTACACCTAGTAGAGTACAAATAACGCCATAGACGAGTATAAATATCACGTGGTATTTGTATTCTAGAGTACCGGTTAAACAGGTTTTCTCGCATCGTGCAAACGAAGATTTGGATTGTAGTTACGAAAAAAAAAATGGCGGACAATTTGAATCATATTTCCGACGACGAAGAGTCAGAATGGCTGGCAAATATAGATCCAAGTTTATTAGATGAATCGAACGAAGAAAAACAGCTAGACGACCAGGAAATTTCTTCATTTATTGAAGAAAATAGAAACAGCAACACGACAACGCGCCAATTCCGTTCCGCTTCGAATACTCCCCGTAAATAAATATCTGCGAAATTCGTCCGCACTAGAAAAACAGCTTGGCGTGTTGGATAGTAAATAACTTATTGGACGGTTTGTTGTGTAGTATCGCTGAGTATTTTTACTCATTCGTTTGTATTTTGACGAGCCCGTAGGGCGAGTCAAAATACGGCACAACTCGTAAAAATACTCAGCGATACTACACGACAAAACGTCTAATAAGATTTATTAAAAACTGGATCAATGGATAATGCAATTCAAGACTTTTTATTGGCTTAGCCATTATGGTATATGAGCCAATATACCATAATCTACAAATATGGTAAGCGTACGCGTCAGCTTAAAATCAAAAGGGAGCTAAAAAATCTGGTTTCTTCTTACAAAATAATTATTTCTTGGGGGCGTTTTTTAATAAAACAATTATTCCACTCGCACTTGTTGGATATGAGATGATTATAGCCAACTCGGCGCTACGCGCCTCGTTGGCTATCTATCATCTCATATCCAACGCGCGCTCGTGGAATAATTGTTAA